TWAAKRWAAWMMTTRRTWAAAAAAAAGTCTAATGTTACAACTAATCATGGGTCCCTTTAAAAACATGCCTCTTTGATCACAACCTTGGGTTGTCAACTAGTCTCCAACAGTTGTAGCCCTGTGGGATACTTCCCTTAATTAAATCAATGTGCAATCTGCAAAATGTTTGAACACAGCTAAAACATTCAAATCTGAAGAGTCAAACTTCTAGCCTATCAGACTTTCCCACGACMCAGTAGCTGTCCTATTGAACTACTTGTGTTTATGACAAACTTATAACAGGTCTTTCAGCTTAGGTCAGAAGCAGAGTGGAAAGCTTACACAATATAAAAACTTGAACAAAATACAGCTTGAAAATAAAACATGAAATTCTTATTTACCCTCATGATCCTGTCATTGAGGATCCGACAGGCCTCTCGGTCAGTTAGATCTGTGTTGACAATGGCGTTGTTGATGTTGCTAGCTGCTCGCTGGAATGAACCTCGAGCTTGATTCAGCCACATGGGACTAACCCCTTTCAGATTGCCAGACTACAAGTCAAAAACCAACAAAAAAAAGAAAAACACATTCATTGAGTGAATAGATCCTTCTTTCTATCGTAAATAATTAAATTACTACACAAAATAAAGATGTGCCAAGWGTAAGAATGAGACTGACCCGTGAGAGCTGACTGACATGCTGGTAGATTTTAGCCACAGCTTTGGTGAGGAGYCTGCCGTATCGGTTCACGTCCAGGTTGAGCAGGTGGTCGTGGACCAGTCGCAGAGCCATCTGACCAGCAAACTGGGCTGCTGTCACTATAATCTCACTAGTGTGCTGGTTGGTTTGAAAATTGAGGTTCTCTTTGTTGTCCAGGTTGGTTCCGTAGTAAGCGTACGACTCGGTCTTAAAAGACCAAACACAAAAGAGTTCAATAAACAGTGACACTGTGTCAAGATGCACATGATTTGAATGAAAACTCACATTCTCTGAGATGAAGTGGAAAGAGACAGAGGGAATTCCTGAGAAAGCCAGGAATGGATAGGCAGGGTCATCCATTGACATTGGCCTGAGTCTGCATGTAGCACAAACATTTAAAGTAAAAAAAAAAACAGTTTAAGGAATACAGCTTGTTCTAAAAATCCCCTCGGTACACGTTAAAGAACAAATAGCGATGCATTCAAATCTGATTGGATAGACTACTTTTAAAAGGGATCCAGGATTAGTTGTAACATTAGACTTTATTTGATAAACATATATTTTAACTGTAAAATAAAGACTGTAAAAATACTGTAGAATGTTTAGTTTTGTAAATTTTTAAAAATTTATTTTAACATGGACAGAGACATTTTATTTACACACAAAGCATTCTGGGTAAATGATGACGTGGATAGGTCCTCGGTGTGAGCGAGCTGTATCCACCCTTTAAAGGGATCCACGATTAGTTGTAACA